CAATGTGAACACAAGTGTAACAATCGCGAAAACCTAAGAACTCGATATGTAAATAATTTGTTAACAAAGGAAGTAACATAGAATGGGATGGAAGATGGAATGCTATAATAATTACCAGTAGAAACTCTATTAGTAAACTATAAAATTAATTTTTCGTGGAACGCGTATTAAAAAAATTAAAATGACAACAGGAATAATGATTGATACGGCTTAGAAATTGAATCGTAATATCTGCATGAAGAATGTTTATAATTCAACACGATGTATACAAATAAAAAATATATAATCATAAAAATATCAATAGTTTAACACATACTGTGACTCTGAAAACATCAACGTTCCAATATCTTTACTATAGATTAGATAATTAATAAAATCGACGCCGGAAAGCGATCTTGTCGTATCTCGAAAAATAGGACTTTACACCAGGGCCGAAAAACTGTTTCAAAAAATTATTTCTCTTTCATTTGAATTAGTAAAAAGTCAATTTTAAAGTATGATGTGTATAATCATACTTTAAAATTGGCTTGACGATTGTATCAATGAAGGGGCGTCAAATTTGGTGTGGGACAAAGTAACAGGTGACAAAACATGAATTTATAGTTATGATCCCAAAACAAAGCAGCAATCGAGCGTATGGGTCTTTCGAGATGAGCCAACACCAACCAAAGTGGCGCGCGTGCAAAGTGCCTCTAAGCGGATGATTGTTTCTTTTTGTAATAACTAACTTTTTTTAATACTGTTACTTGGAAGAATCATTGTGCCGTGTATAGTTGGTACACGACCATTTGTTTGCCGTAAGTTATTGACAAACTACCATCTTGCACCACGATATTGCCAGTTCTCACACGGCCAGACAGACAAATGAATTTTTGAAAGTGAACAACGTTGACCTTATGAGCCATCCCGCTTACAGTCCCGACCTGACACATTGTGACTTTTATTTATTTCCAAAAATTAAGAACCAGTTACCCGGTCAAGGATTTTCATCTGACCTGAAGGGACAGTCGAAAAGTATGAAAAATATGTTTCAGAGATCATGGAGAAGTGTCATAAATGTTTTCAAAATTGGTTCATTCGTATGAAAAAGTGCATTAACGCTAACGAAGAATATTTTGAGAAACAATAAATTCATTTCTGACCATTTATAGTTTGACTATTTATTTTTTCTTATTCATTCCGGAAACTTATAGTGCGCACCATGTAAACGTGTGTTGAGCGCCACTTTGGTTGTGTATTCAAAGCATCAAACGAATATAGGTACATAGTGAATTATGATATATGTGAGACAATTTGTTAACGTTCTATGTTGCACTTTACGGTAAATATAATATGCAATACTAATACAATACCAACAATAACTGCCTCCGTGGCCGAACAGTTACCATGCCGGTCTGCCACGCAGAGGTCCTGGGTTCGATTCCCAGGCCGGGAGAAGTATGTGTATGGCCTACATTTATTTCTCAATAAAGCAATATCTTTAAATTTAATTCTTATACTTCTTTAAATTTATTCCTCTCGCGAGCTTGGGCGTCATTGTGGTTGGCTATGTGTACGTCCGTGGCACTCGCGACACAGGGTTTCCCTAGTGCGGGGCTATGAGTGTTGCGTTATTATTATTATTATATTATTAATATATTTGAAGAGAGCGTAATAAAATTTATAATAACAATTTTGACACCAACACTTATTTATATCCACATCTTCCAACCGTAGATCTACCGGCTGTCTTTTGAGGCACGACCAATCAACAGACTGACGAAAAGAGATTGATTTTTTAAATATACTAGTAAATACTAGATAATCAGTAGCAGCAGAGCTCCTTGTGAAAGACTACGTCCAGGGAAGTACTGTCACCTTACCAATATTTACCTTATTTCTGCCGCAAGCAACAATGTGAGCAATATTGAGTTCCGGTTTTGAAGGGGTGAAATAATAATAATAATAACGCACACACTCATAGCCTCACACTAGGGAAAACCCTGTATCGCGGGTGCCATGGACACAGACATAAACAACCACAAATTACACCCAAATTCACGAGAGAAATAAATGTAGGCCATACAAATATTTTCTCCCGGCCCGGGAATCGACTCCGGGATCTCCGCGTAGCAGTCCAGCGTGGCAACCGCTCAAGCACTGAGGCAGTGAATGGCAGGCACACATGGGACTTATCAACTTATGTCTCAGGGTGACAGACGCAGTGGCATGGCCCCTCAGATCTTTGCGATTTAAAGCTCTGAGTGGCAATGCAACAGCTATAAACAGGCGTGTCGCTTACCACCAGACGCGCGACTTGTTCGATTCATCACTTGTTATCATAAAAAAAAGACAAACGACCATAATCTCACTTGATGTTTAAAGACGATGTGGCTGTTAATATTACGCCTTTGTCAAGTCAATGTCTATTTACTCTATCCTTGAATAGCCATAAATTGTAGCTTTCAGGAAACAAATGCCAGCAGTGTATTCCACCCAAGAAAGATGAAACAAAGCGCTTGTGAGAATGTAAGTCCGTGACATAAAATTACTGAATATGAATGAATGGATGAATGAATGAAAATCAATGACAATAGTAATAGCATTGTAGCTGCTATAGCACGTAGTTCCGACTAGAGATGGGTTATGGATAGATATCATTGGAATAAATACTCCTGAGTATTTACTCTAACATCAATTTTTTACTCGATATTTATCTAAAAACGTGGATAAATATTTTTAATCGTGGTTTATTATTTATATTTAGTAAAACAAAGTATATTTTTTGTGTGTGAAATGTGAAAGAGGATCCTTATGCTATTTCAAGTTCAAACATGACTTTATTTAGTACGCATTAGATCCCAAGACCACAAAGTTAGGTCGCATTTTAGTAACGCAGGATAGGTCAGCTCAAGGGTCACAGTTAATTTGATAACTTTCTATCAATTGAATTTTTTATACCACTCGACTCGAAAAACGTAGGTACTAAAACAGTATTATTACATAAAAAAATGGCAAAAACTTAATTATTTAATAAAAAATTAATTCTAATTAATTTTATTATAAAAAAACAAAAAAAAATATCCCTGTTTTAGGATAAACACACAGTAAAAATGGATATTTATCGGATATTTATCCTTAGACGGATATTTATCCGGTAAAAACCCATCTCTAGTTCCGACTCGTTCATATTGCAATATTGCATCTCAGTCGTTAAGTTTGTACAATGAATGTTATAATTGGTTAATGTTTTTGAGTTTCTAATTCTAAATTTTATCACACAATGGATTTATTGTGTCAGAAATAAACATTATTATGATTATAAAGTTGTAGATATACACCGAAGGCGAAATATTGTGGGTGCGACTAAATTATACAGTTCCTGCGATCGTTAAATGCTTCCATAACATGAACGTTCTCAACCTCTACGTTATACTAAAACTCACCATGCAAGAAGATATCGTAATACTTCGGCACTGCCTCGTACGAGGACTTTTAGCATACGAAGTCACACAAAATGCAGCAAGACTGATCATTAAAAACCACCACAGTAGGCACTAGATAGTAAACTGATCGAATATTTTCTGTACTATCATAAAAATTTAATATTAGATTATCAATAACCACTTTAGGCAGACACCTGACATTATTTACGTGTATTTGACACAAAAGTAAAGGCCTAATGATGTTGCAATTAACTACATAACTGAAAACCGATAACTTTTGTATCGGTCGTTACGTCGAATAATAGTATGAATACACGCAAATGATTTTAAATTTTTTTTAAAGATTTATTCACAATATTGAGAAGTGTGTGTAATTTAGTGATAGCAAAAGACGAAAAGTATAATCTATGCCGAAATCGGATGATTAACAATCAGTCTGATACGAGATAATGAATTTAGTTCGAAATACATAATCCAAGACGATGACTTTTCGAAATCGAATTGATGATGATTGATAGTAGTTAGTGTATTCTGAGACTATATTTTATTCTTGAGCCTTGTACTATGCGCAATACTCTTTATTTTTCTATTTGTATGACGTCTATCACTAACCACCAGCGTTGACAACAACAAATTATTCGGAAAGCAATAGACCAAATACAAGACGTCAATTTTCATTTGTGAAAATTACATTTTGCGTCGAATAAGAAATTGTTATTAAAAGTCGCAAAAAAGGTATTATAGTATATCCAATGCAAACATTTAATTATTATGTCTATGTTAGATATTGATCTAATCGAGAAATTAAATAGCAATATTTTCTATCTGATCGTCTATGGGAACAAAACATTTATCACTTAATTGCTTACGTACAAATAAAACGTAAGAGGGTAATGTAATTAATAAAAAGATAGAATAAAAATAAAAGTTTTGTGTTCCAAATTGTGAAAGTACATTTTGTACCTGTTGTAAAGTTGTTTCTACAAAATAAACTGCAATAAAATGTTGACAAAGCAACTAAAATTAAAATGTCATTTATAACGGATTACATGTTATGATTATGAATACAAAATTGTCCACACACAAAAAAATGTTTTCGTCGACCCGGTGGAACTTGAACCCACACCCATGCTACACCATAGCATTGCTCTAGCCATGTAAGCCATGGGTCCAGTTCCATCTTTGTATTCGTAATCATAACAAAACTAGTGGAGTTATTTCACAAAAAATCTCAATAATCTACCAGGCACAGTGCTAAGTGACATTGAGGTTAATGTCAGGAAATGTAAAATTTAAATGTGAACCTATTTTCTAGAACTAGTTAATTTAATAAGTAGTAACTTAAATTAAGTATCAAGCTTGATAGCTCATCGCTAGGTGGTTAAACCACAAAATTTTTTGTAGCGATAGAAGAGTCGCTTTTTGTGAAACTTTTTTGAAATAGAATAAATAAAAAGAAAATAAGCGTGGTCCAATAACGGCTCCTTGTAGTACACCCGTATTTGTAACATTTTGTAGGTAGGACTTTATCATTGTCAGTTTAATATAAATAATGTAGGGTAATAAACAACGCACCTGCATTTTCATCATTATTGGCTGAAGGCTCTCCATCTTCCTCATTGCCTGAAACAAAAGAATTTTGGGTGAGTAAAACCGTTAATTCCACTTACTTTTTACCAAAACGGAGCGCAGATGAGATATGTTTCTTCGACCTATTATAGTATTTTATGATAGTATTTTATTCTTTTGTAGTAAGTAATTATTATGAAATTATTGTATATTATTCTTAAAGGTTATTAACATAGCATTAATATTATTTAACCGTTTGTAGTGATAATAAAATATAATATATACTTGTCTTTATTTATCTAATCTATTGATAAAAACAGCCAAAAACAAGGGTAACACTGTCAAATTATGTGTCATTGTAAATATCTTAAAACAATCGATACATTATTTATTAGTTTCTATTAAGGCTTATTATCTGTAATTTAGATTATACAGCTCGTGATTATGACGTATGTATATCAGTGTAAATTCTAAACTGAATATGCATTTAATACGTATTTATACTAGTGTTATTATGAAAAAAATGGGAAAAGGATAACCTCGGCGTATATACTTCGACCAAATTGAACAAAGTCTTTAAAGGAAGTCTGTCTTGTCAGAAATTCTCACAATAAATAAGAAAGACTAGAAATAGATGTAGCATTTCATACGACACTGTTATGAAATGTAGACCAATGCTACATAAAGTAATTTTTTTTAATAAACAAAATCGATCTCAAAAGTCTGTGAAATTATTTATCAATTTGCCAAGTTTTATTGAAATGAGTTAACGCCAAATGGGTGAAATCCAATAAACCGGATTAATCCCCACATTTGCCAGTCTTAGGGCGCGTTCCCACTATGTCGTAATGTTTTATTTATTGTTGGACGACTGTCGTGTCTAGCATGTTCCCGTGTCACGACTATCTGTCATGAAGATTTATTTTATCGTTGAACGACTGTCGTGTCTAGCTGTTCGCACTAGATCGTGACGACAATTTATCGTGACAACGATAAATAAAACGTGACGACAATAGTAGCTGCGATTTTCTGTCAAATGATGATAATGACGAAGATGTCAACAGTGCTGATGCAGCCCTTGATGCTTATATATAAGCTGATGATGCTGATGTTTCTGATGGTTCTTTGACACTGACGATTCTAATGATGCTGATGGTGCTTATGGTGCTGATAAGCAAAGAATCATCAGCACCATCAGAATCATTAGCACCATCAGCAGCATCAGCATCATCGGCATTATATATAAGCATCATCAGCGGCATCAGCATTATATGTATCTATCATGTTTTTATCGTGATGTTTTATTTATCGTCTAACGACTGTCGTTCTAGCTACCGTTCCCTCATCGTTGTCCCTATCTACCGACCCGAGAGAGGGATTTCCAGAGAGACTACGGGCTCAATGGCAAGACCAGGGTACGGCGGGCGTCCGGGCCAAACCCTCCGCCAGTGATACGTCTCCACGGGCGTCTCTGGCGGACCCGGACGTGGGTATGAACTCGCCGGGGTTTGTGGTTAGCTGCAGGGACGAACACGTTCGTCTGCCCCGGTAGATGGTGACCGTGGCGTTCGTCCCGCGCGCAGCTAGCGCGTCTTAGTAGTTGAGGGCCTGAGGCGAGGAGATGCGCGGGATACATGAGTTGCCCTTTAAGTCGGTGGCTATGTCCGGACATTATCGCAGGACACTGCCACTTGGCATCTCCGGCACTAGCCCGGAGAGCTAAAAGTGCGGAGCTGGAGAGACCCCGTTCATTCGGCGTCGGGAAGTGAGCGTGTCTTACAGCTCCGCCACCAATGAGGAAATTTGGTAGTCGACTTAGAGTCGGCGGCTCAGCGATGGCAACCGTTAGTCGTGCGGAGCGCGACGGGAAGTGAGTGTGCCAACAGCTCCGGTACCTATCTGGAAAATAGAGAGAATACTGTACGTGCATCCGGGGCGGCTCACCTAAGGCACTAGCCTTACAAGTGCTAATCCAGGGTTAGGACCTGACTTAGATGGTCCGTGTGCAAGTTCGCTTGCACAGGTCATAGTGCCCTTCCCGCATTACCAAGAGGTTGATAGGGAGGGGCACTATAAACAAAACTTATGTAGAAAGATATGGGACTGTCGTTCTAGCTGTTGCCATTGTGACGACAGTTTGTCGTCGTAACGACAAAAAAATCGTGAATGACAGTTAATCGTGTCCTATACTATATGTGAACAATTTCATTAAAATATACAAGACACTGAGAATCACGACATAGAGGAAACGCGCCCTTAGAGGTGGAATATTTTGTTAAAATTTTAATGAGACCACTACCGAGGACCCTTTCCATTAAAAAAAGAATCATCAAAATCAGTTCACAAAGGTTGGAGTAATCGCGTAACATACACACAAAAAAAATACAAGCAAATTGAGAACCTCCTCCTTTTTTTAAGTCGGTTAAAAATAATAATACTTTTATTATATTGTAAGCGCGTTTGCGCACTGCATCCGATTTGTATTCGTTCCAAATCCGTGACTATAAAAATCTAGAAAACTCGGACCCACTTCGGATGTCGCTTGGGCACTAAATCCGATTTCAATCCTAGAAAATACAAATGTCGTTTGTACACTTAGAGATAAAATGATCCCTGTGACATTTCGGGCCATCATTTCTCTGATTCGGAACTGCAACGAATCGGACGTACTGCGAAAACGCTCTAAAGATCGCATTTAAATCTACAACTCCTTACGCTTTCGGCAGGTGGCATTAATACTTTTTGGCAGTCTTTTCTTTATCGGTTTTTGGTACACTCTGTGACTATATTTTATAAGCTACATCCCATTCGTTATTGGCATACAATTACGTCGTTACAGACAAATACGTATATTTTTAGTAACCAACCTCGACACTTTATCACCACCGCCACATTACGTAACACCCTTTCCTATAATTACAACACACAATTCAGATTGTTTGATAATTGCTAACAGATACAGGTATCTTACAGCTACGTGTAATTATAGTATTACACTGATGGGTATTAGACAATTTGATGTGCTGGCACCGACAAGCACTGAAAAGGGTGTGCAGGAATACAGGATATAAACGTACTAATTGTGCGAAATTGCGTGCCAGTGTTACAAGAGAGATAAATACCCTTGAATTTTGCGTTATACAATAACATGTAGATTATAAAATAACAGAGATGTACACTCAACGCTGCTTACGATTTATTTGGGAGTTTGTACTTCTATTGACATTTGACGACAGCCGTGGTTGAGTGGCTTATCTCCTGTTATCATGGCGTTCGTCGTCGCCATCTCCGAGGTGATCCCCGGCTGGATCAATGTAGAAAACTAACTTCTATATTGTCTCGGGTCTGAGTGTTTGTGATATTGTCGCTATTTCCGTTTTCTATAACACAAATGCTTTAGTTACGTTTCACAAATGCTTTTCTTTATGATAACGGAACGCACAATTCGTGGGCCTGGTGGTAAACGACACGCTTGTACATAGCAGTTGCAGTGCCACTCAGAGCTTTAAATCACAAAGATCTGAGAGTACTGTCACTGCGCCTGTCACCCTGAGACATAAGTTGACGAGTCCCATGTGCCTGCAATTTCACTAGCATTCTTACCCTTCAAAACCGCAACGCAGTAATGCTCACATTACGCCATGGCGGCCGAAATAAATAAGGCAGCAGTACTTCTTTGGAGAACTCTTTCACAAGGAGCTCTACTGCTACTAAATTAAATAAAACCTACATTGTGATCAGAGCAACGTATGTGATGTTGTCTAATATTTATATTTATTTGTACTGATATTTCGAAAAGGAAATATAAGAAATATGAAAACTGAACGGGACATCAAACTTTATATAAACAAATATGTTGTTCCATTTATTTTTCATTTATAATAAATCAATTCTGATTTCAAGAGATTTCTTGCTTGCTAACAAAAATGTTCTCAAACAATCATCTCATGCGACGTACATATTTTAACTAGATTAGATATGGATACGTTATCTGAAACCTTGAACAATATCCAGTCTAAAACGCAACACGGTTAATAGTCGCTAAATAAGTTTACACGATTTTAACAATAAAATCAGTGGTCGTAGTTAACAATAAAATCATCAATTGCAGTCTACGTCACAGGCGAAACCGTTACACACCAAATATAAGAGGCGTTACCAACAGCAATATGTGACGCAAACATCTTGAGAAGCAGTACTGTTACACACCTTTTCACCTACTTAAATAAATAATAGGCACGCGACAGGAACGAATAACAAAAGAGCAATGCACTAAACCATCATTATGAAGAGAAAGAAGTTATACAGCTGCTTCTTACTTCCTTTCCTTACAAAACCGTGTAATACAAGACAAAAGTACCTTCATACACAGCGGTTTGTCAGAGAGTTCATTATGGAACGATTTTGGCTCGTGCTCCTATCTTATAAGGTGCGTCTTAGTTGTGTGTGTTTTTTTATGTAGATGGAAACGTGTGTGTGGCAGTCGCGTGGCATAGGTTCCGCGATAGCCGGAAATTATTTGTGTATTATAAAACATTTTAATTGAACAAGATGTTCACAATGATGCTGTGGTAGGTAAGGTACGTTCGTATGAAGAATGAATTCAATATGTTAATCCTACTATAAATACGTACATCTATAATGTTATAAGTTTTATGCTACGTTTTCCTCAAATAAGTTATCAATCAGATAATTACATAGATAATTACATTTACAATGCATCGTGTATCTGTTTATAGCAGACTCGCTGAATACATAAATGATAAAGGGTATAATGTAATTAAGATCTTACGTAATTGTTAAATATTTAAAATTATTTATCTGATAATATGGAAACCGTGCTTCTTTTATTGCAAGAAAGCAATGGACTCGATAACTATAAAGTTCTCATAATTAAATAAATAAATAAAATAAATATTAGACAATCACAATCACATACGTTGCTCTGATGCCAAAGTAAGTAACTAAAACACTTGTGTTGTGTATAGAATTACTTAATCGGAACAACGATGATACCACAAACACCCAACACACCCGAGACAATATAGAAAAGT